TCAGCGCAGAGGGATTTGGAGTAAGCTGATGGGGTCTAAGTTTTTTTGCTCTAGGATGTTTTTGCTGGATACATGACTGTTGATGGACACATTGGGAGATTGCAGAGATTGAGCCTGTGGCGGTCTAGTTAGAGAACAGTTAAGGTCTCCAGCCTCGCTGTAGGGAGCTGACTGGTGTTGAGTCATAATGAGATTAGCCTTTTGGGTTATACCACAAACTCGTTAGGCAGCATTCAGTCAGTGAATACAAATTATGTAAATATATATAGAAAAATTGCTAAAGTATTCAAATATTTATCACCATTTTCCATTACATCACTGACTAAAATGTTTCTTTGTTCTTCAGCAGTAAGTAAGACTGCAAATACACTTATTTGTCAGCTGCTGATAAGCTATGGTTTTTATAATAAACAGTTTCTTAATGTAAATACTTCAAGGGCTACACTGAAAGCAGCACTGTTCTCGTGATAGACCTGGTGACTGGAAAAAAAGGACAGTTACTGGTTAATAAGCCTACGTTAGTGTATTTATACACCACACGCGACAACCGCCAAAGCTAAAAGATGACGGCAGAGCGGAAATTTTCAAAAACTTGTGAACCACAATGAAATTATGTTCACAGCTGGTACAAAACTGGCCTATATGAACAGTTTCTCCCTTAAAAACAACATTATGCTGGGTGATTTTTTTTAGTGGTTTACTCAAAACCAATGATGTCATGTGAACTGGGTACACCTTTTAAACGTCGTCTATAATCCAAAGTGTTTTCACTGTACAGCTGGTGCCAGAAAAACAACCAAAGAAATCACAATTACTAAAGATTTGTGTTAATAAAGGAACACAGTTTGTGGGCAAAGTACATCTGATGATAATTGTGATTAATATCAGAGTCTAATGCCCAAACACATTTGCAGACATATCAACTATCTAATAACAAAATATGTCTGATCTGTAATGCAGTGGGATAAAGTGATCACATAACAAACTGTTCTGCATTTTGTTATTATGTGAACTCTGTATGAGAGGGCAGGCTGATTATTATTACAGTAATTACTCCCATTTGCAAAACCTTCTTTATCCTGCCAAATAGATATTTTTTGAAAAACAGGCCTGAGTTGCCCACCTACACTCCACTCCCTCACCCCCCTCCTCGCTCCCTCCCCCTCCTCAAATATGACTCATCTGTGTGAAATCTTAATTAATCCTCAGGTGGCACTAAAATGAATGAAGATAACTTGGTGGGGGTAATTTGTTGAAGTGTATTGTTGATGAATCATGCAATGTATGAAATACTGCAGAAAGGCTGTATTTACCTTACAACTTTGCTCACTAATTACCACTTATATGATGCTGAATTGTTCCATCTCTTGCGGCATCTTTTTGATTTGTGATTCTGGGCTATTAAAATAAAACTGAGCTGTCTTTCGGCAAATAAAATCACTGCAATTAAAATGTCTCAACTTATTAGTGGCATTGTTGTAAATGCTCTCCACTGCAGCAGCACTAAAGGAAGCAGGTATGAGAAAAAAGTGGCTTCTATCGCTGTCTGAGTCTGAAAGAAAGGAGAATCTCATCACAAGCACCATATGGATGCCAAATCTGCCAAATGCTCTAAATTTGCATGTGATGACGTAAATTGGACTCACATATGTCTTTAAAAGCTCTATCTGTATCACATTTAGTTCTTTATTGAATGACACAGCATAGCTTTACATAATGACGGTCTGAGTCATGCATCCCTTTAAACCGAATACATTAAATTTAAATTGGACTCAGATGAATTCTTAAATGCTGCTCAATCAAGATGAGTTGTGAGAGTGCGTTGGCAAGATCGCCATCAGTTTGGACGTGCTGTGTAATGGGTCAGCTCAGGGTTTGCTACATAGGTTAGACTGTCTGTGACAATAATACGATCCTCATCTTGCCCCGATACATCAGATGATCCTTATCCTTTAGTTGCTTCCTTTTTAAAATTTTCTAACCAGTTATTTACAATCCAACAATGAAGACGACAATCCTACAGCCTAGTAACAACAAACATTTGATGAAAGCGCTCTGACAGCGAGGTTATGGGAGCTGCCTGTAGACACAGATGCTTGTGATTAGATCATAAATGTCAAGTGTTTCAAGCAAAATGTGATATGTTTGTATTTTCTGTTATTATCTAATATTTTCTATTAAGAATGATATCATGTTAAGCAGCCACACGGTTTTGGTAACAAGAACAGACCACTCATTTTACCATCTAATATATGTGCACATGGAGTATGATGATATTACCAGCAGTGTTTAATGTTACGTTTTATCGTACTGTCAGTATTTATAAATATACATTCATTATGTGTCTTATTATGTCTTTCAACAAATTGATACATTCTCATAAATACTAAAAATGAACAAAAATAATAAATGCATAATTCTATTAATTAAAAACTACACAAGATAAGGCTGGTTTGTTGAATTCAGTGGTCGAATACAGTCGTATGCACGTGGCCAGACACAAATGCAGAACACTGAAGCTGGAGAAGAAGGGAACTCGTAGGCATATGTGTGCCGTGGAGGCATATTTTATTTTGTGTCTGCACCTTCAGATTCAAGTTATGCAGGACCATACCTATATTTTATCATCTGAGATAAAACGCGAGGAAAGAGACGACGCCACCAGCACCTGAATACCACGTGATCCTCTTCCTCCTCACCTCATCTCCTCAACTGAAGTCAGGGCTTTATCAAAAACATTATTTATTAATTATTCCTGATCTTGTCGCAATTACTTATTGTCAGCAAATTAGCCATACAACCGTCCTGTAAGAAAACAGGATTCCCTTGACTGAAATCTGTAATGCGCTGACATCTAGTGGTGAGATTTTATGCACTGTAACTTTAACAGATTAATCCTAATAAAGTATTCAATTCAATTCAATTCAATTCAATTTTATTTATATAGCGCCAAATCACAACATAAGTCGCCTCAAGGCGCTTCAAAGTATGAGCTTCAAAGTATGAGGAGAGTAACTTACTCTACCTTTAAGTGTAACGATTTAGTGCATATCAAGTTGATATTTGCAGCGTTTCCTTTATCATGTAACCAGCAGCAGGCATGTTAATTCTCCCACAGAGGGACAGCTTCTGCCAAGCTAAAAGTTTAGCCATTGCTGGAACGCTGGCATCATTCTCCTCCTCAGTTTTCTTCAAGTGTTGTGGATCCTCGTGCAGGTGCTTCTTCGTAATCTCATTAGGGCTCTTAATGCACACGACAGACGTACGAGCACTGTGCCTTAAATCTACTTTCTTGCTAATGGCCAACAGATGGTGTTTGGGTGTAAAAGAAAATTACTCGTTGGCTCTAACTTGCTCCGTGACCCGGCGTTTGTCATCTCATTGAATGAAACGTGCTTTTCATTTAGCCTATTACGGTCAAGTACCTCAGGCCACGCTTGGATTCCAAAACACCAAGATGACAATGCCAAAAACATGGAACCAAAAGGAACAGCGAATGGTATCTAAAAGTAAAGAAACAGTAAAAATGAAGTGGGAAACGAATGCTTAATGTCACTAGTTTTAACAAAAAGTAATTGGAGAGCTATGATGAGTTTCTTTTCATTGCCCCATCACTCACACTGGTGCTTGCTTCATCTGTGATTGTCTCTAATGTTTAGGCACATCAATATCTGGTAACATCACAAATGTGAGTCGTGATTCAGATGTCAGGAAACAGGTCGGAGCTACCCAAATCTTTAAATGTTTAAACAATATCAGGCTCTGTTTATTCTCGGGCCGGCAGCGATGTAAGGTGCCCAAAAAAGGGGATTATGTGACCGTCCCATATGCTCTCCAATCCTGTAAACAACACACTCCCATCTCTGGAACACGGGGTTACAGATGGAAGGTGGACAAGTTTAAATTGCAGGCCTAAACTTAATCTTTTCCTATAAACAAGTCTTACTGTATTCAAAGCAGAGCTGAAGTCAGTGCTCTGCCAGAGACACATGGATGATGCTGCTATCAGTGCCCCTATCACTTCATGCCCCAGTTGCCCAAACATGGTAAGCTCCTCTGACGCTTGCTTTACCCAGACAAAATAGCTCTTCTGTTTGCCTGTGGGCTGTTGGGTTGAGTGTGTGTGCGTTTGTGTGTGTCTGTGGGCGTGAAGACGTCTGAGAGCCGTGTCAGAATTGGGCGTTCAGAAAAGGATACATTCTTCCAGATTTGGATGGATGTATTTTCGTTGCTTGGTTTCAAAATCATGAGTAAATTCAAAGCTTGCCAGCTCAGGGCTGCAGAACGGCACCGGTGCAGAGCCTGGCTGGTTCTATAGGTACAACTTACACGTGTGTCACATGTAGGCAAACAAAAACGAAACAATTACACATTTACAGACTCTTAGTAGTTCTCTCGAGAACCACTAATCGAAACAACATGAGTGAATTAAATCATTAATCACAGAACATTAAAGCCAGGAAACAGATCGTGCTGAGTAAAGACTTTACAGCTTTATCTTCACGAGGCTGAGATTTGCAGTTAGAATAATGTTTGGCACTTATTTAAACTTAATGTCAATGAATGTCATTCAAACACGCTTGTGTTTATATATGCCCCTCCCCCTGCACACAGACACAGTAGAGCAGGCACTATAGTCATCCTTATGACCTCCGACTCTGCAGTGCACCTACTCGTGTGTCCTGCACACCTGGTGAGCTTGAAGCAGATCAGATGACTAGTTGTTGAAACTGGCGAGGAAAAAAAAAAGACTTCTGGATTTTTGGTATGATGAACAAGATCGTTCCCACGCTTTCCTTCTAACCAGACTCACTTTGTTATATTTTTACCAGCGTCTTTCTCCTTCATCCTTCACTTCTCTCCTCGCTTCTCGGTGCTGTGATTGTCAGCGTGCTGCATCATTGGTGAAGCCACGTGCTCTGTGTTTATCATCAGGAAGGGGAGGGAGATAGAGGGAGGGAGAGAGAGAGAGCTCTTTCTCTCTCATTTCTAGTGCGACCACAGGAAGACACACACATTCACGCACAAACACTCTGAGACGTACACTCAGCCAGTCTGTAGCAGCCTGAGGGACGGACACAGAAAACACAGCTACACCAGACTTTGCGGCCACAGAAGCTCTGAACAACACCACAGGTACCGTAAAGCTTTGTCTGCCTGGATTGTGATATTGATTCAACAGTTTCTACCTGAGTGGCAAACAGTCATTTGCAGGTGAACTCTTTGAGAAGCTTCGTGTTTTGACTCTACCCTCAGCTTTGAGCTCGGATGCAGTGAGCCTGCTTTGTGTTTGAGGACTAGAGGAGGAGGATGTTAAAATGAGGACAGGAATTTTGGCACGGTGTATGTGAATGCTGCTGCTGGAGCTTTGTGCTTTTTACTTTTCCTCTCTCTCTCTCTCTCACAGACACACACACACACACACACACATATACACACCCCTGTTTCCAGCCTCTGCATTGGTGAGAACAGGATGTCAAGAGGTTGAATTTATTGACCCCACAGGAACAAAAGTGCAACATTTAGAAAACCAGACGGGATTATTATTATGTATTAAACCCAAAGCCTTTGCATTTATATTGTATTTCCCTGGTTTACAGTTGGATTATAAAGTTGTAGTTTAAAAAAGTCTTGATGCTTTTAATAATCGACTCATTCTGATGTGTCTGACTTTGGCAATGGCAGGGGAGGGAGCGATGCGTGCTAAAGAAAACAATGCTGGATTTGAAGGAGACTGAGTCAGCTGGATGATGAATCGACAGTAGGTGGAAGTCATAAAAGTTGATTGAATCTGGTGCAGGCTTGTGTTAGTGGTGCCCTGAAAGTGCCTGCATTTGTCTCAGTGGTCTTGGCAGGACCAGACAGATTAGAACCATCAAGCATCGGGGCATCGTGGTCAAAATAAAGTGGCTGGGTGATCGCATTTAAAAACTAAGAGCCATATAAGACAACATTAATGTATATGCAGATTTTAGCAGCACTCGGTGAGGTTTGCAGCGTCACACCAGCAGCAGAATGAACAGATGAACAGATTAAAGAGCATTTTTCATATCCTTGAAAAAGCAACAGTGTTGATGTCTCATTTTTATTTGCACCTCTTACATAATTTCTCTATCAGATCAGCAAATGCACTTCCCTTATCATTTTCTTGCAGTGCATCTTTTGCTATGTTCAGATTTGAAGCTACTACAAAACTTATTGACTCGTATTCTTCCTGCTGCTTCTTGAGAACATGAAACAGCCGCTGAAGCCGAGCTGGCCTCCCCTTCGGGAGCGGGTCTGTTTCTCAGCTCGCAGTTTATAAATAGATTTACAAAGAGCAATACGCTCCTGCTCTTGTTCATCACGAGCCACACAGCAATGCTAGCTCACACCTTATCGCCAATCCAGTTAGTCCATATTTGGCCAGAGGGGATTTTTGGGGATATAGATTTATCACATTATTCCAGAATTTTCTACAAGTATGAACAACATGAGTTAAAATCTTGCTTAATTTCCAGTGGAAGAGATGCAGTTTTGGGTTTTTCTTATAAATCATGTCACCTCCTGCTACTATGCTCCGATTAACAGCTCATAATTATCCGCAATTTTACTGCTCCCTACATCCAACTCACTATGTATTGCACTACAACTCAAAGTAAAAAGGTCACTATCCCCTATAAAAAGCACAATAAGGGTTACTACGTGTCCAAAATGGCAA